GGAACAACGTTGCTACAGGGTAGCGAACAGAGTCTTGCGAGAATTGGTTGAGTCTTTAGCACCTCTAAGCCGCAAGAATGCAGAAATTACGAAGAAAACTGGCTGGTCTCTCTTCGGATGTGTATTAACCCTCAACAGTACACCTTCCCGGACTGATTAATCTGTACACCTGGGGTCCGCGCGGACCCCAGAACAGTTTTTTGCTAATTTTTAGAAATTATCAACATTCTACGAGCTCAATTGTTTTGCAAACTGATGTGGGAACCTCTGTGTCCACATTACATACAAAAATCATACATTTTGAACTTTTTGTATTTTTTGGTGAAGAAAAGAAGACAAGAAGAAATACCCTATTTTTAAACCCTTTTCAGACTAAAGGGGCTTTTGAGGCCCAACTTTGATCTCAGATAGCGGCTAAACGGCTTGCGCTAGAAGTATCAAATTTGGAGACCTTTCCTAAAATGTCTCTGGAAAAAAGTTCATATTAGTTTCATACTAGTAAGTTGATGTTTTTTTGTGTTGCCATGGCAACGGGCTATTTTTTTGAAAATAGAAGTAATTTTGGTTTAAACATAAAAATTTTCTGAGTTTTATATTAAATTACACTTCTTTTCCAACATTAATAACATCTTACATAATTAAATATAAGTTAAATCATTTAATATGCATAGAATATGCTAATTTGATGACGTCATTGGTCAAAATCCAATATGGCGGACTATATTATTAGCTCTGACGTCATATGACGTCATAATTACACCAAAGTTATTAAGACTTAATTCTATTACTACACCATTCTCTGAAAACTTGGTAGACATACGATGAGTGCATAAAAACATAGAAAAACGGAAATAAGGTAATGTATAAGAACGCCAGTGTATCCATTATGATCGAAAGCCGGCTGGGGTCCGCGCGGACCCCAAAAGAAAATCAGATATAATTTTTTTTATAAATGGTAGAAACGGAGTTTTCTGCACTGTATTGAGAGACAACTTTGTGGGTAACAATTACCTAAAATTTCAGAAAAAAATCTTTAGAAACAAAAAAGATATTACAGAATATATAGTGCTGGGGTCCGCGCGGACCCCAGGTGTACTGTTTAGGGTTAAAGAGCCAACGTAAGTAACGTTTACTTCTTGATATTTCAGTATGACTACAAGTTTTTCAGGAGCAAACTCTGGTGGTTTTCAAACCACAAATTATGTGTCTCTTAGAGCTGGAAAACTGGCGTTAGCCTGACACTTTCTTATTAGCAATATGGGGCGTCAAATGTTTAGATGCATGTTACACCATGTATTTACACGTTCGACTCATTAGCATCGGCAGTGTGTTCACACGTGTTACATAACTGTTGTTTGGGTTGCATGTATTTCCATACCTGTTCAAAAACTCCACTGCACTTGTTTCCTCAATTTTCCTCGTTTTGGGCCGACATAAGCATGGGACAGATCGGTTGCATTGGTGCATATAAAAGGAAAATAGCCCCCCTCCCCAAGTAGTATCACTCATGTACTAGTATATAATTTTGTGAATGTTTTCTTAACTTAGACTAGTTAAAGGGAACCCTGTACTGCTGTTGCCAATATTAACGAGGGAGACTTCAGTTTGCAAAACGTGAGTAAATGCCAATTTTACACATGTAAAATTATAATATATATAGTAGTTCTTTACAGTGTGCATCATACAGCAATAGTCAGTACAGTTGAGCAAAACAATTGTCCATGCTTTGTTTTGGTACTGCTGCATGAAAAGATCTAACTATAAATTCTACCTGTCAACTGTTTACATTTGTAACCATACAGTGCTATTGTGTTCACAGAAATGCCACAAGTACATGTATATAATACTTAGTAATGCTAAACATTGTTTCTACTCCATAATTTGTTAACATCATTTCTAGATAACTACATTTGTACATTTCTCCTTCTTTTCTTTGGTGCAGGCACACCATCCTGTCTCCCTGGATGCACCTGTAGCAGATGGGTTTCCAGTGTGGACTTGAGCCGTCTCACCGCATCCGGGATGGAGCTGGTTGATCGGTTGATCCGATTGAAAACGGCATGGACCTGTTCCACCCCTTGCTCCCCATGAAAACCCAACCCAACCCCCCAACACCTTATCCAGGGTATGACATGTTCTTCCAAGAGGTGCATCTTGACAGATACAGACGAGGTAGGGAACAGCTCTCTGTACTTGGCCAGGAAGTGCTTGATACTGCAGTCTGTAACATAAAAAGAATGGTATTGATTGATTATGTATTGATTTACTATGAAAAACATTATGATGTCAATTGCATTTCCAAAATAACTTTTAATGTTGATAGTAGATCAAAATGGGTTGATGACTAAGAACCCACCTAGATTGGATATCTCCTCATTAGTCATGCTGTTTGTGTGGGAGTACCCTTTATGGCACTTTGCAAATGCCTTGAAGATTGTCTCATACTTCACCCTGATGTCATTAGACCTTGTAACCAGGTCAAGCG